CCACTATCCAGATATTCTGCTATCCCTTTTAATGCTTTGCGGGGAGCTCCTTGCATACTAACAAGCTGGCACGGCAGAGATGAAATCCATTATCACTTCAGCGCACCTTCCAACAATGGCAGTGTTGCACCCACCGTAGGTTTTCCCTCCTGTAGGCAGGGAGAAACAGCAATGGCTTATGTTAAACTGAGATTCAGCAGCTGCTGGATCTAACAGGGCTTTCTCAAGGAAGACATGGCTGGAATGTGACATGCCAATGTACTAACCCTTCCCGTTCCCCACCAGCAGCTGTGGCACTGCACAGCTAAATGGCATTTCTTTGTTCTACGTCTCACCCACCATCTCATTTCGTTTCATTTCTCATGCATCTCAAAATAATCTTCTTCTCTTCAATATTAAATTCCTCCTCCTCCTCCTCCCTCCCCCCCATTCGATGCAACCTCTTCAATTGTGAATTTTGTCCCTTCTGCCCTCTGCGGATAGCATTAATTGCTGAGTTCTCATGGTTTTGCTTCCCCTGACTTAGGGGCTCATCCTGTTTCCATACAAAAACAAACGTAAACCAATATAAAATGATCATTTTTTTTCCCCAATTTCTCCCATCATTATTTTCTAATGACTTCAGAGAGAGATCCAGCCCACAATATGTACATGAATAGATCAGCTCACAGAAAGGTACACTTTTTTTTTGAAGCCTTAATATAAATTAAATGAGACAAAATAAATTCTGCAGCCAGATAATAGCACTGAAAAAACTGACAGATGGCAGAACAGTGAGGTTAGTGGTGATACTTGCTGTTACATGAATAATTCACTTGGACAAACCTATGGATGGTAAGACCATATTTAGGGTAAGGAACTAGCTCACAGAAAAGATGAAGAAATGTAAACAGCTTCTTCTTTGTAATAACCCATTTCAAACCAAAAGCCCAAATAACCACCTTCTCCAAAATCAACCCATGCTAGAAATTGATCTGTCTTCAACTCGCACCAAAACCCCCCAAGGAGAAGCCCTGTAGATCCCATCAGTTGAGAAATCCAATGGGATATCCTTATAGCTACTGCTCCCAGCCGCATTCAGTGGCTTGAATAAAATGCTGTTAAAAAAAAATAAAATTATATAGATAGCAGAAAAGACCCTGGACATTATAGATTGAACAGAAGCCAAGCAATCTTTGATACCATTTTATCTATGGACATGAAACAGGTGCTGTCCTGTAAACCTGGGGATGGGTAACATCCCCAGAGAGGATATTGCTAGGTACAAAGCCAAGCAACTACAGCAATCTGGGAAACAGAAAAAGCCAGTAGAAAACTAAGTAGTTTTGCTTTTTTTTTTTTTTTTTTGGGGGGGGGGGGGGGAGGGGGGGAGCAGAGGTGGTATAGCTAAAAAAAAAAAAAACAACCAATACAAAAGAAAACACCACAAAATTTTTCATTAAATAAGCATTAGAGATAGGGACACAGCATCTGTAACAATCAGAGAGCATAAAGAGTATTACAAAAGAAGGCACTACAAAAGCATCCAGAAAATAAAAAGCCATTTAGGATGTGGCTAGGTGCTGAGAGGAACTGCACTGTTTTGATCACTTTCGAAGCTGGAAATACTCCTAAAATGCAACAGTCAGCATTTTCAATGCTCTTAACCTCCCCAGCTCAAATAGACTATGGACAATGTCCCAGTGCTGCATTAATCGAGGAATAAACCTGGAACCTGGCAGAGATGCTGGCAATTACGTGGCCTGTCCAAAAGCAATCGATTTTATAAAGCGGTTTGATCTTGCCAGAGGAAAGAAATCTCCATTTCCCAACCTGCCCATTCCCTAGGGAAACTCCACAGCGCAGACTTCTCCAAAGGGCTGTGCTGCATTTCTGAATGGGAAAATGAGACCGTCATAGGGGTCTACAGTCATTTCTCAACCAGAGGGAGATAGCCCAGCCTTTATATATACAGCTTCTTCCTTGCCCTGATGGGGCATTTACACTTACAAAGAGCTAGGGCTTTTACTTTGAAGGTATACGTTAAAAACAAATCATAATGTTCCAGTTTTTTCTTAACAGTCTACCAAGTTTATCGCTCACTGCTGTCTTGAGCAGTGGCAGTAGGAAGATCTGCAAACATGTGTGAATTAACCTCACGACCAGCACAGTGCTTATGCATTATCAGGTTGATTCTGGTTCCTTGCAGAGCAGATCGGATCAGCCTTTGAGATGACACATCCTTTGACAAGGATATAAAACATCTGGGAAGAACGTCCTTACCATGCAAATTAAAGCCTATTGCTATCAACAGCCATAAGATTAAAAGTACTTGATCTTCATCTGATTAAGTGTGAACTCAGATCTGAATAATCCTATAAAACAAGTGAAGTTCCAAAACTCCAGTTGCAGATACTTTTAAGATTAGAAGGCAAGCTTTTAACTGGTACAGAAAGAAATGCTGGCTTCTCTTGTGAGCCAGCCACAAGTCAGACACAGGCTTGTATTAAGTATCCTACAAACTTAGAGACAGAGATCTTGCACCCATCACACAAATTCAGAACAAAAATTAAATATCTTATGTTGAGACAAAGCATGGCAAATCTGCTTAAGACAGCTATACACAAATAAAAGGAAGAAGGAAAATATAATTCAAACTACCTCTAACAGCACACTGGCTGGCACAATGGAAGAACATTACTGAGTAAAATCAGACCAGTTCAACGTGTGCTGGAGGCCCTGCTTTGCGATAAAAGAGTCAGCTTTATCTTCTGTTGTTGAAAACTGGGACTGTGGGTCAGGACCATCTTGTTCCAGATGGGAAAAGCACGCAACAGCCAAATCCTCAGTGGCCACTCAATCTGTAACCGAGAGGGATGGAGCTCCAGAAAGTTTTTTTCCAACAGAGAAAAGTACTCACTCATGCCAATTTTACTTGAAAGCCAGAAGACCCTTCTCGACTCATAGACATGGACGTTATCTTCTATGAAGAAAAATGCCATAGCTATAGGTCATAAGTACATGCCACAGTCTTTGGCCTGCTTTGAAAAAAATTATATAAAAACAAAACAAAACAAACCACCACCAAACCAACCAAAACAGATCAAGAATTGGTCTATTCAGGCACTGTCACCTTCACAACAAATTCCTGATGGACCTGCTGCAGCACTCTACAGTATGGGAACACATTTCTCCCTGCGCCAAGGTGACACTGGCCTACTCCCATTAGCAGCAGGGAGACATTTCAAGGGCCATCATTTTCCTGATACTATTTGAAGAGAAGAACCACTGCAGAAATGCAGACTTCAGTCTCTTAGTAGGTTTCAAGCAGAAAATCACACAAAACTGAACAAATGATTTTCCTCTCAGGAGGGCAGTCCCATACTGTACCAATCAAATGCTCAGGTCAAGTACCCTTTACAATACTTAAGCTTTAAAGATGATTTCCCCAGAGAAAGAACATAAGTGGGGGGAAATTGGAAGGTGAAATGACTACAGAAAGGAATGAAAGATGATCAAGAAAAATCATCGGGGAACTTAACACTGCATGGTCCACGCCCCATCCATGCTACGGCCTCTGATAAGAGATTTACAGACATTGACTACAGGGAACGGAGCTGCTTAGTTATGCAGCCCCTCTCCACACAATCAGGTAGTGGAAACAGCATTAATAAGATAGCTTTTGACTAAGGATGATGCAGGGTGAAAGACCACCAGTTACAGTACATAAATATGTTAATGCAGTTACTGAAGTAATTTTTTCTGTAGCCTGTGTATGGCTGCAAAAATGATTCCATTCATTTTATGCAAAAGAGAAGCTCGTTTATCTTTCTTAATTAGGGAGAACTAGTACTAGGATCACACAAAAAAAAGCATAGTTATTTGTGAAGCCCTCTATGTGCCACATTCTGGTGAGGCCCAATAAAACACTTCCCCCAACGCTGCTTCTGACTCGTGGGAATATATTTGTGAAGTACATGACTGGAAATTCAATAGAATGGCTTATTTAAATTTCCTGGTCTGCCCAAGAAAAAATCTGCAGATGTAAGCAAGCACACAAATAAAAGTTTACATAATAGCTAATGTTTTCATTAAAATATTCCTGGGATTCCCTTCAACTCAGCACCAGATGACCTTCCACAGTTCCAGAAAACAGAGAATGGATTGGCTTCCTCAGAGAGTGAAAAGAACAAGATTAAACACTCTGCATGAAAATCAAGCACGTCCTTTTACTTACTGAATCAATATATTTTTAAAGGTGTTACCTGCACCAAACTTCTGTTATATTTACCCTCAGCTTTAGTTATTTTACATTGCTCATCTTTAATCTTTTATTTTTTTCTTTATTTGTTCTTCAAGGCAAACAAACAAACAACAAACCCAGCCACAAAGCTCCAAGACTGCAAAGCTTCTCTGTGATGACAGACGTACTGTCTGCAGTGATGAATCCCAAGATGCAACCATGCAAAATGCTGCAAATCTGAGTTTCCAAAAGGCCTGATCCCAGGTGCACAGATTTCATGGTGCTTGATTCTGACCTTATATGACGCATGGTGCAGCCTTACAGACTTAGAGTAAGCATGCACTCCAGGGAGGAATGGTACACCTTGTGAGTATAGGACTAAATGATAGCTTCTGATCCACCTTGGTGCTCCTGGCTCTTAGTAGTGCTCTTTAGTGAGCAGATTCATCATGAATCTTCATGCACCACTGCTGATCATGAGCCCTACAACCAGACTAACAGTAATAGAGCTAGAAACGTTTTCAGTTCTGTTACAGACAGAAACACACACTGTATAGTTCTGTGTTTATCACCGTCTGGAAAATTGGTACACTTGAGCATTTAGAAGCCATTTGATTCGAATGACCCAAACCTTTTGTCTCTTTTATTTCTGTTATAAGAGAAGCAAAAGCTTTAACGTCATCTTGCAAGTGTTAGGAATAATACCTTTGATTTCATAACACTCTATGCCTTGGTAAAACAATGTGTCACAGAAACACCATTTTTTTGTGCTACTCACTGCATGCTGCTTCTGACTCATCTGACCCATCAGGACATTCTTCTTCCCCATCACATTTCCACCTGGCTGGGATGCAGTGGCCATTGTCACAAGTGAAATCTGACTCGGCACAAGTTTTCTTTGCTGCAAGAAAAAAAAAAAAAAGGATGTGAATGTAAGCAGAGCAGAACACCTTCTTTGCAACCACTCCCACCAAAAACAATAGTGAATTCCCTGTATCAAGGATTCATTTCACATTCATCATTGCCTCTCCATGGTGGAGTCAGACAGATATCAAAGGTGGGTGTTTCTCCTCTCTAAAACTCTTATCTGTCCTTTACTTAAAACAGATCCAACTCTTTTCTGTCTTCTTCCAAGCAGCCAAAAAACAGGGATGCTCTTTATCAAAATAAATATCTAGGGTTTTTACTACAAAATGCTGCTGCCTATATGGAACTGGAAGTGTGCTGCATTATTTACAGACAGATAAGACAAATAAGTCTTGCCTTTGGAGTACTACAATCTAAGTAACAATGTTTTCATCTATGCAGTCTATTCATGGCTTTTCTAGTACATCTGTCACCATAGCAGATGATCATAAAGCACTCCTTCAAACAACAAAAAACATTTCATTAAATGTCAACCACTCGATGCTCTTTGCTTTGCTTGCATTAATTTAGGGCGTTAAAAAGATGCAAGGCATGAGCTCAAGCAATTAACAGGTCTGCTCCTCTGTGCTGGTGGCACAGCACACCCAGTGCCCCGTAAGACACATGAACATCTTTTCACTGCAGCAGAGAGAAAGCAGCCTGCAGATATCTGGCCCGTTCAGTTCTTGGCCTCAGCGCCCATGCGGTCACCAGTCACTCACCACCTTTTGCAAAGGTGACGTTAGTGGCTTTTCTATGAAGAACTGGACCCAACAGCCCATCAATCGACCAGTCAATTCATATAGGAAGGGGTGGCAGGGAGATTTGTTTCTTCCCTCTCTAAAGCTGCTCATAACTTAATAGGATCACAGGTAGTAAAGGACCCCAGGAGGTCATCAAGTCCAACCTCCTGCTCAAGACAGGGCCAGCCTGAGGTCAGACCAGGTTACTCAGGGCTTCACTCACCCTGGTCTTAAAAACCTCCCAGGATGGAGACAGCACAGCCTCCCCGGGCAATCTGTTCTGCTGCCTGGCTGTCCTCACAGTGAGGTTTGAGCTTGAAACCTATTCCTACGGAAGTCAAGTGTACACATCATGGCTTCACCAGTATTTCTTCCAGCAAACATTTTCAAAGCATTAAACACCACAAATAACCCTCCAGGGTTTGATTTTATTTTATTTTTTCAGCTGCTGTCAGGGAGGGAGCTGCGTTGAATATAGGCCATGTGCCTATGGAGGAAACGAGGAGCATTGCTGTGTGAGGTACTGAGAGGTTTACACGGCAGAAGCCAAGCATTCATTTTCTAATACATGAAACATGCAGCTTTCCTGAACAAGCATCCAGCAGGAAAACACTGCAGAACATCACGAAGCAGCTGTACAATCTCTCAGGATGCACTTCATAAAGAGAACACACATTTACTCTCCTTCCGCTGCTAAATGAGCCAGAGTCTGAATAAAATGGATGATCTGCCCTTAAGTCTTTCAGAACCAGATATTGTGAACTAATACAGAGAATAAAACAGAGGTCAAGTGTTTTACAAGACATCAGTCATAGTAGGAAACCAGGCTGATCTTCCCGAGATGTTGCACACCTGTTATCAGAGGGAACAGACCTTCTCCTGAACACCTCCGGATAGAAAACCAAAACTTGTACCATTGGCTATCAAGGGTCATTTCTGATGTATTTGATTCAAGTTTAATTAAATTAATCTGACATATATAATGGTCAGAAGCTCAGAGCAGATATCGAGGGGATATGCACATATAAGTAAAGAGAGTACCCGTGCCTGCCGTGAAGCTGACCGGGTGAAGTGCCAGCAGCTGCTGTTAGGGGAAGGCTGTGGCACCTACAAATGAAGCAAGAGTGTCTTTACCCAGGAATCAGAGACGAGCATAATGCTAGAGATAAAAGAAACTTCATTTTAAAACATACTTAGTTTTATACCAGCTCGCTCACTGCTGTCAAGTCTTGCTTTGCATTAGAAATCTCTGTTCCACTGACTCATTCCCAAGAGGACCAGACAGCGACACAACTCCTTTTCCACCTCCGACTAAGCCACCCTTTCCCCACTAGCCTAACACCCTGACCTGTTACTCCAGGACATGTGGACGCAAGCGTGAGTGAGGGTCAGCAACAGCAAGGAGCGTAACAGGCATCCAGCCCCTTCCACACGGCCAACCTGCTCGCGCCAGATGGTGGCACTGATTGCTTTGTTCCCCCGGCGCTGCTCTTGGGCAGCACAATTAATAGATTGCCAGGATTCACAAAAGGGGGAGAAACGCATTACTGACAGTCCCAGGGCGTCTTTCCGAGGGTGCGAACGTGCTCCCTGAGTGCAGCTCCCCTTTGCAAAATGCTGTGTATGGCCCCATCTGTGGCGGCCTACCCACAAAGAGAGGGGTCAGCCCTGCCTGTGTGCCCACTGAAGGTGGGACTGGCCTGCGCCAGATCCATCAGCAGAATAAAAGCACATTTGGTCCTTTGTTTGAACGTAAACTGTCTGATCTCCCCAAAGAGCACGATTAAGGGGTGGGGGGAAGCCCTCAAGCCTTTCTGCGGTTATTATATTTACCTCTACCGTTTCTTATTTTACTGCTTTTATATTTTAAACAATGGATTTTGTTATTGTCATTACTACTCTCCACTGCATCAGGTCATGGCCCCACAGACTGTCTTAATTAAAATAAACTCTGCTTTGTGTTGCAAACAGCAACCCAGATTATTAAAAGTGCAAGAATACTGAAGTCCTGTCTCATTTCTCACCTCTAATGCAGGACTGGAATCACTTTATTTTCAACCAGATTCACCTTCTGGCACTCAGTCCTCGTGTCTCTGGGATCACAACGCAGGCAGGGAGCAGTTAATTAAAATATCAGCTCTCTGTCATTTTCTTCCTTTTCTTTTTCACATCCGATAACCTTTTCTATTAATCTCCCATGTTATACACCTTCCTTCTATCAATTCTCTATTAAAAATTCATTGAGGCTTCCGCCATAAATTGTCAGCGGTGCATTAAAATGTAAAATAAATAAATACCTCCCTTTTAGACAATGGGGAGGACACAGGTTCATTTTATGGTTTCACCTGGCTCAGAAATAGCCAAGCAAAATTAATTGTTCCCCTGAGACCCATTTCCTTTGCCGTAAGCAGCACAGGCAGCTCCGCTCACATCTCTTCAAAATGAACATAAACAAACAAGAGTAACTAGTCACAGCTTCCCCCTGCCTCTGCTCCTTGGGGGGCAAACTGATACCTGGAACAAGAAGAGAGAAGGCTACTGAAGCATACACAGAGCCTTTCATCTTCTCCCCTGCTCGGATACATGGAGTGACACCAAAGAGACTTCATTTCGTTTGACTCTCGCTTGATTTGCCTTCGGTACCTGCTTTTCCTTCCTCACATCTGCAGCTGGACAGATACGGCAGGAGCTCCTGGGTGGAAGTCAGTGCCTGGATGCCCACGGGGCTTGGCCTCCAGGCAGCTGAGTGCTGGTTCGGGCAGCTTGCCAAAGGAAAGCTGGCTTCGAAGGAATTCTTTCCTGCTTCTCTTCTCCCAAGAAGAGAGACAAGAGAGGAAATGAAGCCATGACAGAAACACAACCTAACACACTGAATTTTAAACGAAATTGCATCAGACCGACACGGTCCCTCATTCTGTAAAACATCTTTTCCTTTTCCATTACTCACATTTCTTATCCTGAATTGCAGGTAAGGATTTAGGATTCATCCCTAGAGCAAATTAAAAAGAGAAATTGAGGAGGCTGGTTTAGAACATGAACGTTTACTGAAGGAATTCATTAAAAAAGTGATCATTGTATGACTGGAGGAAATAAATACAGACTGAAAAGAACAAGTCTTGTACTGGCAAGGAGCAGGGTCTGGATGATCTTAAATGTGATTTCTGATTTCAAAAATACCTGAAAGGTCAAACCCCTGACTCTAAAGCCAAACAGGTAACACTAATTTAAGGGGTCCAGGATACTTTCATCCTCTTTCCAATAAAACCGAAATCCTCTCTCCCAAAGCTGTCAGCCACTTCACTTCTTGCATCGGTTCCAGAGGCTTTATGGGACAGAAACATGTTTACACTCAGTATTTATAAGACACAAGGCCCTCAGTGATTCAGTTCCAGTTCATGCTTCCTGGTTATTCCTCTTTTGCACATCTCTAATACTAAGCAATACACCACACTACTGTAGTTTTTGATTGCTTGTTGGTTTGTTTTGCTGCTCCTAATTTCCCCAAACCAACACAGCTGAAGAGCAGAGTGGAAGTATTGTATCGCTTATCACCAACAGCTCTGCAAGCAAAGGTGGAGCTGTTGAACAGCAGCCGTGATGTAAAAGCACATACAACCTGCCTGTAAAAGGACAGGTAATTTTTAGATGAAGGGTTGTTCCAGCTCCGGGCTGTGCACTCAAACAGGAAACCTGGCTGATGAGAGTCTTCTCAGGTGTTAACCCAAGGAGACCTTATGGGCTGTGTCTTACCCTTCACCAACTGCTGGCCAATTTCCACCACATCTGAAAAGAGGCAAGGGGAGTGAAAATTGAAAAAGTCTGCTCCTACAAGTTTCATAGACCTGGTAGTTGAGTAGAGAACAATCAAAATTACAGCCCCACAGAGGGAGATGAGGGCAGAACATGGCCACCACACGTCCTGCTGGCAGCGGCCTCAGGCCTGCAGGGGTGGTTCTGCTCCCTCACCTCATACCAACTGCAGCTCTATTGCACAGTAAATAAGGTGATTAGGGATTAAAAACATTCAAAACCCCCAGACACCACGACCATTGAAAACTTCAGTTTCACTTGTTCTGCTGCCCTCGTTCCTTTACACAGACCCTGCTCTTATTTTACTTCTGAATCAAGAGCAGACTGCCTGTCAGCCGGACTCTGTTCTCATCTGCAGCCAGTATTCAGCCTTTTTGTGGAAAATGTTTTCACCCAGGCTGCTGTAAACATAGAATAAAATAAAAGGCCATCCAATGAAAGT